AGAGAAGAGAGATAGAGAGAGAGAGAGAGAGTTGAATAATTGTTTTCCTGGAATTCATTAGAAAAGACAACACTACATTCTTTATTTAATTACCAGAATTACTGTTATATGAAATTAGCACCTCGATTCATAAACCAAGTCTTGTCTTTACTGAATTTTTACAATCTACTACAGAAAGTTGAGAAGAGAGTGCAGATTTTGTCTGATCTACGTGAGCTAGCTTCAGCTGAGAGTCTGGATTCCTTCACTCTTGTATATACTAATATTCTCCAAAATCATCCTGACTGCCCAGTAAGTAGTTCTAGTGAATGGATATTTTAATTATTGGCATTGTTTCCTAAAAGAAGAGTTTTTGTGATAAAGCATTTATATTTACAGCCTGAAGTTGTTGAAAAGATTGTTGGAATGAGGGAAGGCATACCCCGGAAGGATGCAAGGGAGGTTAGGAATTATTCATCCACTCGTCAGATAATTATTTTTCCTATAGTGTTTATTTGGTAACTGAGGTGCAAAATTGTTTTTGTCATAGAGTTGAATACTTATATTTTTGGTATCTTGTAGGATAATTACTTTTTTATGGCCCTAATTAAGGCATGGGATTAATTGGTTTTGTTTATTTGATGGATGTGCAGGTTGTGCAAGAGTGCAGGGAGATATATGAGAATTCTTTTGTAGATGGGAAGCCACCCAAACCAGGATTTGTTTTCGGCAGAGTCAAATGCCTCTCTTCAAAGGGTTCTGTGTGGAAGAAGCTCTAGTTGCTCTCTCTCCCTCGTATATATCTGCTGTTCATTTCTAAAGTGCTATTCTTTCTTGGTGTGAATTGACTGCTTTCATATAAATTTGGGATCTCTTTTGAATCTTGGAAACACGTCATTTGTAATTTTGTTCTTTTTTGTATTAATATGTAATTCATTGCTTATTAAATTTTTGTGCAGAATCCTTTTATGCGTCTGAGTATATATGGGGTGTTTTTAACTGGAAGCTTCATCTTTCAATGTTCATGGTCCGCACGCTCGGCATGCCTCTCTTATAAAAAATTTCAAGATCCTCCAAAGTAACATATTATTTCTAATTATAGAATATTTTTATGGACAATCGTCGACTAATGCACAATAATATTTCAAAATAGCTTCCAAATCTGGGCCATTGAATTTTACGTTTTGGCGAAATTCAATGGATTTTGTATGACAACTGAATCAAGGGAAAATGAGAGAAGTTCAGTGCACTAACGTTTTAATACTTTCATTTAGAATGCTGGATTTTGGATCAGGTTTTATTAATTGATGGGATTGTATACTATGAGACCATTTATTATCATATACCAACTATTACTTTGGCAGTTAAGGTTCATTTGTTTTACTTTTTAAGGACGGTATCTAGGACACCCACATGGACCATGCAGGTGGTTCAGAAGCTTGAAATATCGAGGAAGTACTCGGATCTTTTTAAGAGTGACTATTTTACACTTTGGTTTCAACTTTTCCCCCTCGCCTTCCACACCAGGTTAAAGAATAGTAGTCATATTGTAAAATTGATGGGTCTAGGTATTGTCTTGATATTTCGTGTTTTAGGATGTTTATGAACATTTAGAGGTTATTTTATGAAAATGATGGCCTAGGTATTTCGTATTTTATAATGTTTATCATTGTTTATGGCCCATGTGGACATTTACAAACCGTGCATGCCATCCTCAAAAGGTTTTTTTTGATGTCGACAAGGATCAATAAATAAAACCAAAGTTAGGATTTATTTGTAAATGTCGGTCCCAAGTTGGTCATGCCGGTCTTGAGCCCAAGTAAAAGAGAGGATTGTGTTAGGTAGGCAACCAGTATAAAATTTGCTTAATGTTTTCATGAATCCTGAATTTATATAGCGGAGCAGCACATATGTAGCCGAGTCCAAATAGTTTGAGATAAGTCTTGGCTGATGATGATGATGAAGCTACAGTTCATTTGTAAATGTAATCTTTTTACTTTCTTCCCATTCAAATTGATGACAAAAAAAAATCACATAGTTAAAAGAGGTCAGTATCAGTCAACTTCTTCGTATCAGGTGCATGTTTTGCACATATTGAAACAAAACTGAACCCGTGAACATGTTTAAGTAAGAAACAGGTACATGTATATATTCCTTGGAGATAATTAAATCCTCAACAGGATTGGTCACTGATCAGAGCCTTATTGGAAGAAAGAGGAATAAAATTTTGTTGAGTTGAATTCCATTAGAATGATGTGGTGGCATGCATTTTTAGGAAGACTGTACTATAAAAAGGTGGGCCTTGTTGAAAGCAAGTAGCAATCCATCGCATCCATATGTTGCATTTACAAATGCAAACCTTATTCAAAGCAAATCATAATTCTTTAGAACCTCATTTAATTAGAACCTTATATTGCATTTGGAAACGCAACATATTGCATGGGCATGCACTATATTGCAAAGCAAATCATAATCCATTAGAGCTTCATGCAATATGTCCAAGTGTACATTATGTTGTAGGATTTGATGGTGGCAAGGAACTACTAACCACTGTTTGCCCAACCCTACAAAAATCAAAAGAACAGAGGATATTCTCTTGTTTGAAAAAAACAGCAACTGAAATGGAGAACTATTCTATGAACTCTGAAGTGCATTGTTTCAATTAAAACTCAGAAGATACGCATGCTCTTTACTTAGCCTTGCTAAATTTGTAGAGCTGTTCAGCCCATACTAAATGCACCCCACTAGAGAGAGAGATGATAATGGAATAAATTTATTAACTTGCTTTCAAATTTTGGTGATAGGCATGTCTTTTCAATGATGATACGAAATCGGTGAAGTCACACGAAATGAATTTGATTCCATTAAAATTCCAAACTAAGCATTTTTTTGGAGAAGCACTTAAATTGGTAATCTATCGATGTGCACGCCTCCATTAAAAGTCCCAAGAAGGATTTTTTGGGGAGTTGATACTGAATCGGGGGTGTCGAAGTTCTAAAATGGTTGCTATCAAGGATAGCCATTGTATCTCACTATTAAAAATAAAAATGTAGAGCTGTGTATGTGTATGAGAGAGGGAGAGAGAGAGAGATTCAAATTTTTAGGAGATTAGGCTGCTTGGTCTGATAAGGAAGGTTAGAATCCTGGACCTCTCCCTTGTAAACTGGTTGTCTTACCTTTAGACCTTAGGCTTGCGAGGGAGCATTGTGGTCATCTTCAAAAGAGTTTGTGTAAAGACCAAGATTTTCAGGCATGACGTAGTGCCGGCGGGTCATCGACAGGGAAAGTTAGACCGCCGAACCGCTGTGCGTGTACATTAGTGAGAGTGCCATGCACGACAGTAAGAGAAGTAGAAGAAGAGAATGAGCGCACGGGACAATAAGAAGAGCGCGCCAGAGGAGAGAGAGTGTTGCTGTGTGCATTAGAGGAGAGAGAGTGCCGCCGTGCATGTTAGAGTAGAGGAGTGCTGCCGTGTGCGCCAGAGAAAAGAGAGAGCTTTCGTGCGTGCCAGAGGAGGGAGAGTGCCGCCGTGCATGTCAGTTGCCGCCGTGCACATCAGTTTGACGCCGTGTGCGCCATTTGCCGTCATGCGCACCAGTTGCCACTGTGCGTGTCAGTTGCTGCCATGCACGTCAGTTGCCGCCGTGAACATCAGTTGCCGCCATGTGTGCCAGTTGCCATCGTGCTTGTGAAGTTACCGTGTGTGGTTTAGGCAGCCGCCGTGTGTGTTTTGGGTAGCAGCCGTGTGTGATAGTTTATGTGTTTGCTCTTTTATAAGCTCTACATGGAACTTACATGGCACTTGCATGATACTTAGCTTTTGCATGAATGCCACTTGGCTTGTGCATGCTGCCCTCTCCCTACAAGCACCTCTCTCAAGAGTTTTACACCTTCTCTCTCTCTTCCCCACATTTTCCCCCTTTAAACCATTAGAACCTCAATCTTGAAACCCATTCTTGGAGCTTGGCCCTTGTGGAATGCATTGGGAGTCATTGTAGTACTGTAAGTAAATTTATTGTCCATGCTTTCATGCTTTGTGATACGTGTTGTTGTTAGTTCTTCTAGGTATGAAGTTTAAGCGTAAGTAAGTGTGTGTGATTGTAAATATGAGCATGAATACGCAAATCATGAAGTTTAAGCATGATTATTGATGAAATTTTGAATATGGATGTAGTTGTATACTACAAAAATTATGTTAGAATGAGCCTTGATTTTTCAAGACTGTGACTCTTATTTACATGAGAGATTGAGTATTGAAGATAATTGTGTTGATTATGCAAATTGGTGGGAAAGCACCATTGTGAATCTATTTTAAGACTAAAAATACCCTGTATTAATGCCTATTTTGGTTTGGAAGTTATTATTCATTCTTTAAAGTATGCCCAAAACAAGGAAATGAATTCCAAGAACTTCGCAGGTTCTTGTGTTGAAATTTTCATTGACTAAATAGTATCCAAATAATCTCAAACTACTTTTAACCGAAATATGGGTGTGTCTACTTAAACAATAGTTTGAACCATGTTGAAATTTCTTATAGTTTGTGAACTTTGCTCTTGTTTGTATAAATATGTCACTGTTGTAAGTTGTAATGAATTTCCAGAACTGTTGCCTATTTTGTACTGAATTGTTTACTAACTAAATTATGTTCGAATGATCTCAAATAAATTTTAAACAAAATATGGATGTATCTACTTCAAAAATTGTTTTAGAAGCATATTGAAATTTCTTATGGTTTGAGAATTATGCCCCTGTATATATGAATATATCATTGTTGTGAGTTGCAGTGACTTTCTAAAACTATTGCCTATTTTGCACAGAACGTTTTACTAACCAAATGGTATCTAAATGATCTCAGATTACTTTTAAACTAAATATGGGTGTGTCTAATTCAAAAGTAGTTTTAAAACTTTGTTGAAATTCCTTATGGTTTGGAAATTATGCCCCTATTTGTATGAATATATCACTGTTATGAGTTGCAGTGACTTTCTAGAACGGTTGCATGTCTTATAATATACTATTTACTGACCAAAATGGCTCTGATTAAGTTCAAACTAGATTTAAAAGAAATATGAGTGAGTCTAGTTTTAAATTGGTTTTGGAATCATGACCAAATTTTGGTGGACTGGGAGTTATGCCCAATTTTCTGTTCTATAAGACATGCTTGTGGAATGGAGAATGATTATGAATTAGTGAATGCTTGTGAGTTGTTGACTATGCATGCTTGAAATAAGACATGCCTATGAAATAGTGAATTCTTGTGAAATGTTAAATATGCATGGTTGAAATAAGACATGCCCAATAAATAGTGAATGCTTGTGAAATGTTAAATATGCATGGTTGTAATAAGACATGCTTATGTGAAAATGAATGTGCATGGTTGTACGAGACATGCCTATGTGATACTGAAGGTACATGGTTGTAATAAGGCATGTCACAGATGTCATATGAAGCATTATGCAATGGTTCATCCATTGGTGATATGATGTGATATATTAAGAATGGGATATGAGTTATGAGGCGTACTCTGTCATGAAATGAAAGTAAGTGCTATTATCAAGTGAAAGAATTCTCTGGAATGAAATTAAAGTATGCTCTGGTGTAATATACTCTGTTATGATATAAAAACATGTAGTGAGACATGCTGTGATGACCCAAACTCTTCCTAGCCAGTTAGAATGCATGGCCGGTCAAAGAGGAAAGAAGGAGTTGTCCAGCGCCGGTTGGATTGTGACACTTCGGCGGGAGTGAAGTGAAGAGGCTAGAGCCAGTTGGCCAGCGCCGGTTGCCCAACGCCGGTTGGCTAGCGCCGGTTGCCCAACGTCGGTTGTGTCTCTGACATGCATGAGTTGGAAGTGACACTTGTATAATGCATGCAGATGAGAGAGCCACTTGTCCAGATTTTGAGCCTCCATGGCGACACTTGGCGAACCACCCCCAACCCATGAGTATATAAGCCTCTTCTCTCACCCACGCCTCTCATTCTTACATCTCTCTCTCTAAGACACAAAGTG